GTGCATTGAAGAATGACCTATGACCATATCATGTCGATATTCGACCAAGAACAATAAGTAGTACCTACCTGTCAAATGTACTCTGAACAATCCAGTGTTAAGACGTAAAACGTATTTAAACATCATCGACCAAGCATGTTGCAACAACAATCGCTTTCTTAGGTAAACAATGTTTAATTCCCCTGCTAATGGAGTCCTATGGTGATAGAGTGACTTAGTTAGCGAAATTTCCATAACACAAAAGCAGGTGACGACTTGGCAAGCTGTCATTCAAAAAAGTAGCACAACTTGCGCGTTTACACAATCGATTAGCATCAACTGAAAATTCAAAATGTCTAAGTCGAGAACAGCGACGTGTCGCAACCACTTTAGGTATATTTAAAAAATACATCATTGGTACGGTTTACGCGCTCGATAATGTGTCAAAATTCGTGATTACAGCATTGATTACGTGTGTAATTCGATCGGTGGCAGTGATTTCACATTTATCATCTAGCTACTAAATGCCCTACAAGTTCTTACTAAGCGAAATTGTGACGAATGTAAAACAAGATGGAATTACTACAAGCATGTATGATTTACTTTGATAAACACGTTATCGATATTATCTAATGACCTGATTCGCTAAATTGTAATCGATAAGGTTTTTGGTTGCATTTAACGGTAACATATTTTAAACATTACAATTATTATATCACACCATACTACTAGAAAGAGAAAAGACTTAGCGGGCACCCGCGTCTGTCTCTATCGACTTCTTAGGTTTTCGCGATTGTTACACGTACTAAACGTACGTTTGTTTTTTTCAAACTAATCAACGTTTCGGGCCCTTTACATGTCGCATGGACACGGGTGACTGAGATGGTAAAGTCATCAACAAGTTATGTCTAATATTAATGCAAACCATACTATTCTGGACTATAGTCACAAAAGTTGTTAGTTAAATACCTGATTTTTACGCAGTAATGCTTGGCGGCAGAAATAGGTAAGGGGCAGTACTTGCTTGGATGAACTCTCTCACAAGGGGCTCTATTGGTACTAAAGTTTCATTTCCTACGTGTACTATCTACTCTTTTATTCAATAAGAAATCTCAAATTTTTACACAAAGTATAGGCATCACAAATTATTCAAGCTTTGTAAAGGTTCTCATGAAAAACAAAGCAAAAATTTCGCAGCGATAAATTGGAAAATACGTCAAAAATCAACGGTCTCAACGAAATTATATTTTTTTCGATGGCAAAAGATGTACACAAAAAACATTCGAAACTAAAAAAAACATATATTCAGATCGATATAGCAAATTCAATCAAAGAGGAATTCGTAAAAACGTTTTTGGAGCGTAGCTCTTTACGGTCGCGAAAAGTGGACAATGGCGCAAAAAGAACAGAGAATATTTCGAGACCTTTGAAATGTAGTGTTAGAGGCGGATGAAAAGATTTCGCTGGACAGAGAAAATGTAAACAATAGAGAAATAAAACCTTGAAAATAGTCGAACACCGAAGACGGATTATGACGTATCTTCTTGTATGACATTATTAAAAACATGTTCGAAAGAAAAGTGGAAGACAAGCTTGGACGAGGACGATTAAGAAACAAGTTACTTTGACCATATCAAAAGAAAAGTTGGGGCCACGTATAAGGTCAAAGAAACAGCTGCCGGGGGACAGAAAGGCGTTTATAACGCCTTAAAATAAATCTAAGAGAAAGTCAGTAAAGATAGAAATAGACGATATACCATTGCAGCTGTATTTACAACACTAGCAAAAAGGACGCTAACGTCTGAGGACGATTCTCGTGCGATAGAGAAATGTAAAAGCAAGACGACGGTTATAGATTTCATATTTCCTTTTGATATGAAAAAATACTGACACAGAGTTGACGTTCATTATATTCATTAAAAAATCAATCACAGTTCTTGAGAAAATGATGCTTAGGTGGTTCGGATATTCTGAAAGAATGTTGGCGAAAGAGCTCTGTGAACAGGCAAGTTGGTAGGGGCCGACAAAGGCCAGCTTACCACGAGCAAATTCAGTACATTCTAGGTCAAGAGTACCGAAGACTTAGCGCGAGACTTGCGCGAGAGCGGCATTCTCACACTCTCGCGCAAGTCGCTACAGCGTGTACGCAAGCATTCAAGTGACTTTTGAAAGATATGTTCGGATTGTAGCAAGTGGAAGGTTATGATCTCTATCTCTAAAGGAAAGCGCGTGAAGTGTTTTTGACGTCACCGGTGGCCCAACAGTGTGCAGCTTTGGGCGCTGAAAGTGGAAGTCCCGAGTTCGATTAGCGGTTGGAACAATTTGATAGATAGACATTTGCGAAATGGCACCAGTGTACATGTTCTGTTTACTCGTAGTCCTGGGAATTTGTTAGTTAAGACCAGCTGATTGGGGTTTTTGACTGACGAGTGACACTGTATAATCATATAATTATTACAACAAACACAAAAGGGAAAATTTCAATTTTTTTTTAACAGAGCATCTCTATTGATAATATCTACCTTTTTTTATTAAAAAAAACAGACCTTAAAAGTTTGCTTAATTGGCTTTATTATTGGAATTACTTCTATTTGTCAAATTTTATAGAAATCAGTTTATGAAAAGTGCGCGTTACCGAATTCATCCCCGAATCTAGTTTGCCACCCTTAGAGATGGAATATTTCTTTCAAATTTAAACGGGACCAATACTGAGCTACCCAGTTTCCAACAAAAAAAGGATCATCACGAGAGAAACAAATGTAGGACACACAAATATTTCTTCCGGCCCGGGAATCGCACGCGGAACTCTGCGTGGCAGTCCGACCGTTTAGCCACGGAGGCAATTGAATACCTCTTTTCTTAAGTCGGTAAATAGAAGAATTGTTTGTGCAATAGGGATTTGAGTAACTTTCTGACGATATTAAGGATGTGACAATATGTGCAATGTCCTCTCGTACTTGGCAATCAATGCGGGCTCTACGTAGGTTCGCAAATAGTCCTTACGATAGTGAAGATAGTATCATTAGAAGGAGTTTTATTTATAAACACAAGTGCTTTGCTATTATTTATAAATATAACAGATCCATCTTCACTACAAGACAGTGTTAAGTATCATTTCGCACTCGATGGTATATAAGGACGATAATTCATTAAACAGTAACGTATAACTATGCCACGATTGCCTTATTGAGTGGATCAAACCAAAATTAACTCAATAAAGTTACTACGCATTTCACGGTCCAGTTTTAATTGGCGTTTTATAAATTTAGCACAGATTACGAGATGCACGAACGAAACCTTAGCAAAAAATAAAAGAATACCTTATTTTTATTCAAAATTACATTTATCTGCTCAAAATTTAAATGCAATTATTCTTAAATATGTAGTAATATTGTAAATATGCAAATTAAGGAAAATTCGCCAGTTATCCTGTTAAGACACCATAGTAGTACTAATATCGTCAAAGTCAGGCGAAGCATTCCAGGAGAATTAAATGACAGTATCTTTTACTGCTTCTCATCGAAAAATAACACTGGGCGCATTGCGCAGCAGAGGAATGTGCTCGTCTCGGTATGGAAGAACCTTAAATGGATAGCTAGTATGTAGATTGTTTGCGGAATGCGAAAGTGGAATCTGCGGTCAAATGTCAGCTGTCCCGTGATCTAATGGGGACGAATGATTGGTTATAGAGCGGTGGTATCCCAATTGGATAGCGGTTGATTCTCGATTAAAGACGGTTCGAATCCGACTAGCGGCATGTACCTATTTGTTGTGCGTAACTTAGGGTCGTATTCTGGAACTCTGCTCAATGCTCAAGTAAGGATTTGAGCAGACTTGAGTATGATTTTCAGTGCTCACTGCAATACTCAAGTCCTGACTTGAGTATTGAGTAGAGTTCTGGAATACGACCCTTAGAAATGCGTATGATTAGTAGCAATATCGTTCACTAACGCACATCAAAGAAGGTTCAACGAAATCTTGGTGCTTGATTTTGATGAACTAGGTGTCATTCATACCACCTGACGGCACAAATAAGTCGTGCGCCTGGTGGTAAGCGACACACCTGTCCATAACAGTTGCAGTGCCGCTCAGAGCTTTACCTATTTCTCCGCCGATGTAATGTTAGCATTACTGCGCTCCAGTTTAGGAGGGTAAGGGTGCTGGTGAAATTAGAGGCACGTGGGACTTGTCAACTTTTCTTAGGGTAACAGGCGCAATGCTGTGACCCTCAGATCTTTGTGATTTAAAGCTCTGAGTATCGGCAAAGCTCTCAGTGTAGCTTACCATCAGATGAACGCCTTGTTCGTCCCGTACATTGTAAAATATTATAGAATAAATGCCTTGATATTATAAAAAAAAATGGTCCTATTTCAATTTGAAGAAAATATTCCACATCTAAGGGTGGCAAACTAGGGCATGAATCCGGTTACGCGCACTTCCCGGTAACCGATATTGTAAAAAAGTTATTTTTATAGAAGAGAATTTGTGATTTTGTGAAGACGACTGTCAAGAATCTGACAGAATATTATTATTCCTTACGTCCATCACTATTTTTCATAAAAAACATAGATACTATCCTTCTCAACATGAATCATAAACAGCCTAAAGTGACCCACACATTGTCCGACTTATGCGTCGATCAAGATTAGATGGAACAGGACAGAAGATGTAGGAGCGAAAATACAGTCAATAGCACATCAAGATATGCAGGTTGCCACCGTTACTTGAAAGGGCATTTATTTTAAATTAGTTATGTATACTGCCGTGATCAGTAAAAAAGGCCGACTTGTCACTTTTTTTAAGATGAATAAAGTGCTAACTTAACGCAAGGGTAAAGTAAGATATTTTTTTAATTTAATTTCTTTAAACATTACTTTCTCGGTTTTGAGTTTTTGTTACAAGTGCCCTTTCGACTAACGGCAGCAGCACTATTGTTATTGTTGGAACAAGATCCGTCAAAATGTAGCTTGATCTATTGTCGTCTGTACATAGAGAAAATATTATTAATGTTCTGTACTTACTTATTTCTTCCTGTTCATCCGATATATCTGAAGCTTTGTCTTCAATTTTCTGTAAATAAAGAAAGTAATATTGAAATATGTTACTATGTTACCTTAGTTCATATTACCTGCAAATATTGTATGAAATACAAGAAATTCAATTGAGAGTTCATAAGATTGAGAAATTTAAAAAGGAATTTAAGAAAATCTACCCCTCAATGAAAGAAGAAATTATATAAATTTACATTTATTGTCTCCACAAAAAGTGCTTGTAAGAATAAAAATGAATGCTTTACACAACATCAAAATATAATCTGGTTGTGGAGGCTGGTCCTTGATCTAGGAGAACCTGTATCTCAGGTAAACAAGGATCCACCCCCGGGCAGACTTAATAGTTATGATTAAGCAATTACAAGTGAAAACAAAATGGAAGCAAAATAAAAACAAATTTGTTCTGAGGAGGTTAAACCAAGAGAGAACAAAATGTTGTGTGTGTGTGTTGAGAGTTGTGAAGTTGAATGAGGGTTGAGAGGGGGAAGAAGAAGATAGAGAGGGGAAGAGAGAGAGAGGGAGAGTGTGTATGTTGTGTTAGTGGGTGTGAAATTGTGAAAACTGTTAAGTTTCATCATAATTAAAATGTTTAAGCCAATTTACTATCTGTTTCTTGCATTGGTATTTCGTTAGTGGATATATTTCTAGTGTTCTGTTTACTTTGTTATACAGATATGGGCCTATGAAGTGAACGAAACGGTTTCCAAAGAGGGTTTCAATGGGTCCGCGTCTAACGACTATATCTTTCCTTCGTTTCGTTTTATAGTATGGGTCGTAGATCATGTAAGAATGCTGCCGAAAGAGATTATGCAAGACGTAAATTTGCCGGACAGTGAGAACTTCACAAAATTTATATAATTCTTATGTGGGGAACAGGAATGTGCGAAAAGTAGCCACTTTTAAGACGGCTCTTTGGGCACTTCCCAAAATTTGGAGATTCTGTTAGGTGCATCAAAAATAATAGAATTTCATAGATTACGTTAATTAAATATAAATTTATAATAAAAGTATGAATACTGTCAGATATTGTGGATTCGCATAGAGCCTTATAAACAAGTTTTAGAATTTTGGTATTTGCAATATATCGTAATTGAAAAAAAATAAAAATTATTTTTGTCTCTCTTGCAGCGAGTTTGGTTACGTGCGAGTTAAAACTTAGATGTTTATCGATGATTACACAAAGACATTTAATCTCTGTTACTTCTTCCAAGATGGAACAAGAGCAACTCTGAGTGGGATCGAGACAGCAGTTATATTGAAATTAGGGGGTGGACGATTTATGTTGCGTATGTTAAATGCTATGATTTAGTCTTGTTAGTATTAAGGCTGAGCGAGTTATAATTAAACCAGCCCATAATCTTGTGAAGGCCTAGTTGAGTGTACTTTGCCATTAGTAAGGACCATATCACAGAGTTCGTTGATAAAAAAAACAGGAAGATCGTGGGACCCAGAACACTACCCTGAGGGATGCCACAAGTGACAGGTTGTTCGTCACTCAACATATTACTCAGTTTTACTACTTGAGCTCGGTCCATTAGATAATTTTGAAAAAGTTTGAACTGTGTTCCTCTTATTGCCTGATTTTCCAGTTTACTCATAAGTCTTGGAATTGAAACCGTGTCGAAAGCCTTCGCCAGGTCTAGAGAAACAGTAATTACTTTCTTCCCCTCAACTAGCCCTTTGACTATGGTAATGGTTAAGTCTTCAATAGCATCTGCGGTTGATTTGAAACCGTATTGCTGTTCGGATAGTAATTTATTATTTTCCACGTACAAAATGAGGTCTTTATTTATAATTTTTTCCAGAATTTTTGACATTGAAGGGCGGATTGAAATAGGGCGATAGTTAACGACACGATCTCTCTCGCCACTCTTGTAAAATGGAAAAATAACAGATTTCTTGAAGACCTTAGGAAATGTTCCCATCTCAAAGCTCTTTTTACATACGTGAACCAGTAACGGCACAAATATGGTTTTGTGTTATTTCAACAACGAAATCCCATCCCAACCCTATGCACAGTTAGACTTTAGGTTCATTATAAGCCGTTCAGTATTCTTCGCTTCAGGATTTAAGAAAGCAAAAGAGAAAGTTAAGAAATCTACAGATAATTTTGGTGTAAGATGAATATGTAACAATTCTATGAGTGTGTCATTTTGTTTCTTAGTATTATTTACTGTCTGGATTGTGTTCCATAGTAATTTACTATTCGAACCTGCTTTTTCTAACTCACTTTTTTCGAAGTTACGTTTAATTTTTTATATTACATAACAATTCTGCCCTCGGAACTAAAAAAGCACAACTGCTGTGTAAAGTCCACATAGTTGTGCCTTTTTTGTTACGAGGGCAGAATTCTTTAACAAAGATTTACTAGATCCCAACATTCATAATAACCACACCGAGAAGAGCAGCAAATTCAAAACTAACTATTCCGAGCACTCATCTTCCTAAATCACTAAAAGACGAGCTTAACCCCAAAACATTAAACGAAAACAAGACCTCCTTAATCAACTGTGATACCCAAGTACAATACAACAACATTATTACACTTCCCTTGTTATAAAGACTATTGTCTGAAAATAAATACCCCAAAACTGTATATTATTACTAAGTATAGGCTTAATCTACAATTCAAAAATTAACATACCGTATGCTATTTTACACAGAACAATAAATACAATAGAAGTGCTTAGTTTGCGTGTCACGTACGCAACAGTGAGCGGGGTTCCACATACTTGATCTTAGCGTCGTATTCTAGAACTCTACTCAATGCTCAAGTCAGGATTTGAGTATGGTTTAAAGCACTTGATATCATACTCAAGTCCCTGCCATTAGGGTCGTATTTCCAGTGCTTGTATTTCCAGTGCAATCCTGACTTGAGCATTGAATAGAGTTCTAGAATACGACCCTTATTTTTTCTCGTACGTTATGCTTCTGTCAATTATCTCACGTAAAAACTCGAAAATCGTGGAAAAATGCCTTATATTGCTACTAAGGCGAGCTACAATGAAAGTCCCATCTGTAATATTATCCACAGTGGTGTTACATTCGTCTGTTTAAAGGTAAAACCACATAGGTGACATTCTCCACAAAAGTCTTTAATTTATATAGCTATGGTAAGATAATCACTAT